TTTATAGACAAACGTTCCCGTAAATAAAAGCCTAAAGCAGTGGGTTTTTCTAGTCAATCTGCCATGAAGATCGCATAGTCCAGATTTTGTCGCCCGGTAGATGTATGCATATTGATTCCGAAATCAGCCAATATTTACCTTATAGTACCATCAAAGATCACAACTACAAAATATAAAATTTGCCTGAGCTTGCTGAACTGGATGTCTACTTGCTCTTGCTGTGATTTTACGCTGACGGCCACGTCTTGATTGTGATGCTGTCATAACAAAGGCTTAAAATAATTTGCTGCATGGCAGAAAATAACTCTTGATAATTTGCACTATTGAATATTACCAAATTGTTTTGATAACTTTTTGCAGATTTATCCACCATTATAGGTTTCAACTACGCAATTTTTTAAACATTCGGGGAGTTAATTTGATCTTTATTATATATATATATATATATATATATATATATATATATATATAATTTAGTCTCCAACTGCACACTTTGGCATACACAATGAGTTATATTGTTTCTGCATCAGCATACACAGCTTCCCAAACAAATTAACACGTGTCATTTTGATTTTTACATTTACACAATAAATTATTTGCACAAGCAACCGATAAAACAAAAATATAATGTGTATCCAACCCCCTTGAAGTCAAATGGCACAGTGGATAAAGGCGCCATTATCCCACTGTAACCTTTACCACCACGTTTAATGGCTGGTATCGAATTCTTTTCATGTGTTCTCAGGAGGACATGGCACAGTAGATAAAGGCGTTTGTTAGATCTAGTGACAGGACCCAAAGAGTGTGAGTTCAATACCCAGTTAAGGCACTGGAGAAATTGGAGGGAATTTGAGAGATAAATTAACATCCATTAAACTGATAATGAGTTATATTGTTTCTGCATCCATCCATTAAACATGACACGATAAAAACAAAATATAATGGAATTGGAACAGTCTACTCCAGTGAGCTGAAATAAACAGGATTCAGTTCGACATTTCAACCACCTGAAGAAGGCCGGAGCGTACAACGGCCGAAACGTTGCCTTAATTTTTAATTAATAATTTTATTCCGTCTTGATAAAAATATTTGAAAATGGTTCTAATTGATTTAATAATGGTTTTTCCTAATGAATACATACTTTAATTAAGATTTGTTGATTATCTGGAAAAAGGGACAATTATTTTAAATACTATCTTAGGTGTTCATTTAATTTTGAACAGCACTGTATATATGCGAAATATAAATAAGTTGAAAAATTAAATAAAGATTTACGAAGAATCCAAAACAATTCCGATAATTACGAATTATTAGCGAAAGATCAGTTCCGTAAATTTGTTTAAATTTTTCCTCTCATTGATTATAGTCCATGTAGTTCTATGTTCTGAAAGAAAGAAAGGAAGGAAGGAAAAAAAAGGATATGGAATAGATTAAATAGAATATCTTAAAACAGATGCCTATATTATCAAATAAAGTTTAAATCAGTAACCACGTAACTTTTAGTCCATTGTTCTGACGACTGAGCTATCACTTTCAAGATGGCCGCGCGATTATACTTCCCATTCACGATTCTATAAAGATGTGACGTTGATTAGAAAAAAATCGAAGCTGTCATTCAGTTCGATCTGCAGCCTTTCAAACAGTCGGTGATGTGTAAACTGAAGCGTTGTGTTCATTACATTATTAAACAAATCTGATGTTCCATAATATTTAAGACTGGTAGAGCCTATTTTGTAATGAATATTTCTAAACTTGACCCGTTATTTTCTTTAAACGTAAATATTTTCTTCAGTTGAGCGTATGAAATACCGAGTCAGAAATCTCTAATGTTAATTAAAGTATTTCAACACGAGTTTTAAGCATATTTACTTCGGGATAATTGAAGAAAAAAAACAAATGAAAAAGTTTTACATGTTTCCGTTTCGATGATTAAATAAAATGGAATTTAATTATCATTAATTTTTTTAAAATTCATATTTCATATTATTTTTGTTGCTTTTTATCACATATTTTAACTCTTCAGTATTGTTACCCACTGTCTTTATTTTTATTCCAGCCTTTCCATTTTTATTTTACTGATTTTCTACACTAAACTCTAAAATGGTTTGGCTAGCACAAAAAATATCTCAGAAAGTTTCTTTACTCATGCTGTACACTATAGTGTTTTTTTTTCTGAGCACACAACGTAGCACAAGGCCAAAAGTATGGGGCACACAGTGAGCATCAAACTGACTACTCAGTTGTAATCGTTCTAGCAGAATAAGCTTTCTAACCATTACAACATGCCGAGGTGCTTCTCAGGCTGTATATTATGAACTAGCAGCATGGCCCGGCGTTGCCCGTGCTTGATTCAAAAATCGTAGACTCATACAGCAATCGCTATCACTTAAAATATTTTTGCTCTTCCTTGCCTTTAAAGAAGTGCCCTTTGCCGTGCTGATGTTGCTACATGCCTTACTTCTTGCCTATATCACACTGCGAATTTTTTCTAAGCTCTATACTAAACATTAAATCTGTTACAAAAAAAAAAACTAAACAAAATGAACACAAAACTATCAGCTTTAAAAAAGAACTCGTAGCTGGAAAAACCGAATGAAAAAATAATGTTAACAATGAATTCTTTTTCACACCCAAACCAGTTCTACGTTGACTTGTGACGAATGCAGTTATCGATTTTTTTGCATGCTAGCATGCTAGTTAACATTCGTGTCAGTCAGCTGTTGGCTCTCACGCTGGCCAATAGAATCTTCCTGCCTATTCGTGGCAGCCAGCTATTGGCTCTCACTCTGGCCAGTAGAAAATGGCCGAAAACTACATGAAAATTGCCGTAGAAGCATGAAAAAATCGATTATTTCCACTATCGATGGGAGCCGTGAAATGCAAAGTCAGTATTGGCCTTCCCGCTAACTTGGAGCCTGTGCATGTAAATTATGGTGCAAATCCATCGAAAATTGCGGCCGTGCATTCTTTACACACACACACACACACACACACACACACACACACACACACACATCCTGCCTTTTATAGATAGAGATTAAAAAGAATAAGATGATCTAAAACTGAAGTAAACCTTACAGAAAGAACGTCATTATATAATAATTTAATGAAGAGGTGTAATGGTCAGCAGACTTGTCTCGCTAGGTCAATTACGACGGAATAGTGAGTTTGATCCTCATATGGTGGGGGGGTTCCTATACTTTCAGCCTTATGTCACATCTAAGCTACCATAATCTGCCTGGAGTCGTTATTTTGGATTTCATTAACATATTGAGATTTATGTATATTACGGTAACCCATTTGTCCACCTGGAACAATCTGTAATCTGCAAATTTTGCTCCCCAGACAAAACTTGGTTTTCTCTTCATCATGGCTTATTTTATAATAGGACTTTTAGTTCTTTTTCTTTAACCTCTCATGCATCGTTAGTTATTTCACCAGATGGAAGAAGGTTTTATTGCTGTCAAATAGTTTTGAATGCTCTCTCTAGAACTTGCAGATCGTCAGGCTCTAATTGGTCTATCAAGAAAGACTGTACTCCATAGCATTGGTTGGTAAATAGTCTAAGTGAAGAACAATTCAAAGCCGGATGTGTGCTTGGCTATCAACTTTAATCTATAAAAGCGTATTTGTTATGTACATCAGAGAGGCTATAACTAGAAATAGGGGAGTCTACATAGATATCACACAGAACATATTCAGTCCATGAGATTCTCAGCATCCTTCTGTAGAATCACATTTTTGTTGCCTGAAGTTTCTTCTTCATCTGCTATTATATTATAGGACCAATATTAGGTTATCAAGGAGGACCGATATCAAATAAGAGTCCAGTTGTCCTTTCTTTGTTTCAGACGAATTTTTCTTGTTCTTACATTGATTTGATTTTGGAAGGCTTCTTTCGCTAACCCAGTGCGTCTTCGGATTTCGGTGTCACACTCTCCACCCTCTGTTAAAACATTTGATTTATTTTGGCATCTCTAGTTTGTAATTCGCATTTTCGGCTCGTCTTTTTGCTGACAATCATCGTCACAAAATATTAGCGGCTGTTTATTTCAACAACTTAAAGTAATTTGAAATTCAACTATAAGTGAAATTATTAAAGAGATGTAGATAAATCACTAAGAGACAACTGGAATTCTGAAAGACAAAAACTGAATGCTGCTTCGGAATAAATCTATTTACAGGCTTCTAATAATGATTCAACATCTGTGGCTGGTTACATTGAATGGCCGTTTGGGTGCCTCGGCGTTGTGTAATGGTTAGCAAGCTGGTCTTGCTAAAAAACTTACAACTGAATAGTGAGTTCGATCCTCACTGGGTGCCCAATAATTTCGGCCATGTGCCACATCTAAGCCTGTCTTAGAAAATCAATACATTGAATGGCCGTTGCAATTTTGTATGGCGTGTGAATTTTCGCATGTTTGCATTTACAAGCAAATTACGCGTGGATTTAAAAGCGATACGCGTGTTTTGCTACATTGATCTTGTTTGCAGTTAAATCTTCCCATTGGCTCCTGATTCTTTTATACACACACTCGTATTTTTAAATGTATAACAAACGAATGGGTGCAATCAAACTGACAATCTAGTGTGCCAACAGAGAGAATCACATTTCCGTTACCTGAAGTAGCATCTGCACCGTCCAACTTTCTCTTCTCAGTAGGGACATTAATCGGAATTATTTTGGCAATGCACATGTGCTGAGACTCACCAGAAAGGACGGCAGTGGAATTGAGTCAATGAGATCCGGGAAAACTCACTTTGACTGCGTGTCCAGAAGAGTCCTTTCGAAGACCTAAGGGTCTTAGCCTTAGCAAATATTTTGTTATTTTATGCTTGAACTAATTTTCTAGTCACTGACTTTCTTTATGTTTCTGTCGACTACAAGGGGGAGATTAGAGGTAAAGTTAGCTGAGACTATATTGCTTTAGATAATGTGTGGTCATATTCCTAACATCTGACAAAGTGATAAGATCATTATACTTTTTTTTCATTCACAGACATTTACATATCACTCAATCTCACTCTATCTCTGTCATTCCTGCACGCACACTTAGCTATGTACATTGCTCAATATCTAGGAAATAATCTATCTATCTATCTATCTATCTATCTATCTATCTATCTATCTATCTATCTATCTATCTGAGTCGCCCCTAAAATAATCTTTGCCATATTATTATATTGCTCTAGGACGTCAGAGAAGCATGTTGGTGGTGTGGTTGTAAACTTCTAGCAAATAATCCTAATTCTCTGCCATGTTTAGATATTAGTAGTTCTGTAGTCCGGAAAAATGTAGGCTAACATGAATCTACGTATAAAGATGAGAAGTGTCACCGTACCCATCTATTCAATATAAACTGAACCAACGGACATTTCACAAGGCAAATGGACGTTTACTGTAAATCATAGGCAATCAATGCAGAGTTCGGCAGTGGATAATTCTTTTTAGAGTTGGGGACAGTGTGAAATTGTGACTTAACTATGTGCAGGGCGAAGAAAGCTACTCAGATGAAATTTTCCTATCAATGGCATCACTGCTGTGAAAAACAGAAAAGCTGAAAACTTTCTTTACACAATCGTCTTAGTAGGCTACCTCTATATTTTACCGTTTCATCAAAATAAACTACAATACTTTATATTGCAAGCGGCTTTCACACACACATATATATATATATATGTGTGTGTGATGAAACAGGCATTTATTATTCAAATAAATATCCGTTTTGCCAATACGCTAAAGCCTAAGCAGAAATTCGCTATTAAGTATATGTAACCAAAATTGACAATTCGCTACATGAACTTACTGACCCACAATTGTGCGTGTGAATATATATATATATATATATATATATATATATATATATATATATATATATATATATATATATAGGGAGAGATTTGATTTCTCTTTTAATCCTAACCGCATTAAGTCAACTAATGCATTGAGTACACTGCTTTGTGAAATATCCCTGTAATGTTCATATGTTAGATATTTCTAGATTTCTAACAAACTTATTTCATGGGGCATGTTTTGATCTATATTTACATTTCTTCTTCAGTTTTAACATTGTTATTATTTTGTTTTGTATTGATTATACAAATTGATTATAAAAATCCTTTATTGTTTTTGACGTAGTTTAAATAGGATGTATATAAAGAATGGTTAAAATCTTTTTACCTGCCGTTGTTATGGAATTAGGACGTAGCATTAAAATGTCTACTTTTGTCTGGTTTATTTATATTATTTTATTTTTTGTGGACTTTGAAAGATTTTCTCCTTGCGGTATATATGAAATATTTAGGATAATGGAGAAGCTTAAAAATGTTTCAATGTATTTTAACACGTATATTTGAATTCTAATAGTTATTAAATAGAAAATTATAATTTTTGCCATTTTTAATTTATTGCTGTGGTGAGATTAGAAGTTTATGAGATAATTTTTGTTGGTGGACATACCAGCAGACATTTAATTTTGGATCCTTCTTAGTGGGTATAAATATAGTAATGTATTGTTTGTTTCTATTTCATAAATTAAATCTACTGTCCCAACGAACAAAATTATATTGTTATATCGTTTCTCTAACGTTACACAGAGGTTGCAGAATCATTTTATAGACTCTTCACAACATTGGAAATAGGCTGCGTTGTAAAATTACGTTATAAGAAAATGGACAATACATTTCTGGAAAATATTAGAACTTTTATTTATAATTATAGTGACAGTCAAAAAAAAAAGAAAAACGAAAATAAATTCCATATCTTCTAAACTTATTGTTTGGTTAAAAAAAACGTATCCTGATGTTAAATGCGACATTTTTTAGCGACAACAATTTGTAACGTTACCATAATGTAACAATCCTGAAGATGAACAGTTAGTATAGGGCTAGGAAAATATTTTGGTTACGTTATAGTAACATTACGTCAACATCACATATTTACAAAGCAAAATACAACGTATCCGCAACTTTGCAAGAATGTTCCATGTGTTACTGGGATAAATCGGATATTGTTTAGTCCATTTGCTAGATCATACAATATAGCTTTCCTCTTATCTATATACAGGATGTGTTCCGTCCAAAATAGACATGATTTTCAGTCTAATAACATAATCGATTCTCGCTCAAATGGTATCAAATATTAACAAAATGTGTAAAACCTAAAAAAGTTGAAGGTTTAATTTTTCGTCTTTATGGACCGTTTTTTTTTTTAGGGAAATGTGACCAGCAACGTTTATCTGCAAATAATTCAGAACTGGTTATTTGCTGAGCTCATTGCTATTGAGTAAGAACACTTCATTTTCCAACAAGATGGGACTCCATGTCACTGGAAGCTGACTATTTGGACATATCTCAATGAGAATCTATCAGGAATATGGAGCGGGCGTGCCAATGATAATGACAATGTGCTGTTAAAATGGCCACCGCATTCACCTGAGTTGATACCTTTTGTTTTTTTTTTTCTATGGGTGTATGTGAATTGTCAGGTTCATATCCGTCTCTTGCTACAAGCCTAGAATAACTTAAGCAGAAAATCGGAGGCGCTGGAGAATGTTACGCAAGATATACTACAGCGTGTTTGGCAGGAGCTGGATTACGGATATGTATGTCGTGTCATATGTGGTGCGCATATCAACATTTGTGAAGCTTTCTGAAATTGTTTATAAAATCTACATCCCTTTGAATATCTTGTTTGCATTTTGATAAATAAATATTTTATTCTTCAACATGAAACCGTTTGTCTGGGACCTGTAGTTACTCAGGTATTTTAAATGATGTCATTCTTTTAGGGACACCCTGTTTAAGAAATGTTCTAATTCTATAGGTTACTCGATCATTTTTTAGAATCTTTGAAAAAAGGATCTACTAAACCACCATTATCAGGGAGTTCCATTACTAGTAAAAAAATTCATGTCGATAAAAGTTATTATCGAAAGTGAAATACCATGAGTGTATAATATACCAGCAAATCATTTTGATATTGTTTATCTGTAGGGAGAAGTGAATATTTTTGATTTATTTAACGTTTCGTTAGAAGATTTAAGCATTTGTCAACTGATACGTTAGTTCATAAGAAATTAAGATCTAAATTAGCTGTTAATGTCTTTTATATTAATATTTTTTATATCTGTTCAAACGATAGCTTGAAATTTTAATATGTGAAAAGCTGATTGTTTCAATAAATGTTAACATATTTGCTATCATTCTCGGGAATCTACAGGGGGGGGGACATTGTTTAGCGTTTTAACACCTCCATTTCGTTCCTTTTTATAAACAGAGAAAATGTAATTTTCTGCTTCTATATTTACCGCTGTTCAAAAGATTCATTTAATTATGAATTAAAAAAAGAACAAAGCACATTGTATAAAGATTCAGAACTGAATTCATCGTTTCAAAGTCAGTGAGATTTTAAAAGGAAATATTTATTACGAACTGATATAAGCTGAAAAGTATTTAGTGGGTGTGGCTCGTTTGAATGACACATTGGTGGTGGGGAAAGACATTCCTTTTGCTGCATGTCAATGCTCCCTTCCCCGTGATGCAGCTAAAGTCAAGGAATTAAAATAAGAAATTCCTCTTCAATAATTTTCCAGTCTTAAACAATTTATCAAATATTGCACGCCATGCAACACTCATTGTTTTCGACAAATTCAAAATCGTAAATATATTGAACATTATGTAATTTTTCAGAAAGGAAAATATAAATATTCTTTTTATTACAAATATTGGTATATATATATATATATATATATATATATATATATATATATATATATATATATATATATATATATATATATATATATATATATATATATAAGCTTGGATTGAGGAATCGGAGAGCTGAGTTCGAATTCCAGTCGAATCCATTACATTCATTTACGTGCTAATACCCTTGGGAAAGGTGTGAATCCTCTTCTTCTCCCTCCAACTATGGGTAAATAGCAGCACAGACTGGGTTCTATAGCCTTGGATGGCAACTGGTCTAGGAGAAAGACAACTTTGAATTCAAAAATCTGTGGAGGGTTGTTTGGGAACCTTGTGGCACGTACTGCACCAGGTCTCTGTATTCGGCCCTTCAAAAAGTGTGGATGGTCCTGCACGAAACCTTCACCACTATGATCAAATCTCATGTGGTGTTGTCGGGCTGTCGGTTTCCTAGGAACTGATCTGCTTGACCCTCAACGTCGAATTCGACGGAGAGGATATATATATATATATATATATATATATATATATATATATATATATATATATATATATATATATATATATATATATATATATATGGCTTTATTGAGCCATCATTTCAAAAGTAATAAAATATTGGACAATTTGTATTTAAGCTTTCATCCGAAACCAAAAAGGGTTCGAAGTATTGAAAAGGAAAAAAAAATGTAAGTTCAATATAATAACATCTTTCACACATATAATAGCAATAATGTCAATATATTTTTTCATCAGCTGCTAGACAAGAATTAGAAACATGATGAAATCGCTTTAGGAAAATTATAAAAAATGCATCACTCGTGTTGAATAAAACATCAAATTAATTATCTACTATAAAAAGATAAAAAAACATCTAGTCTTATGATCGGAAATACTATCTCGCTGATGAAATCAAAATTTTAACAGATCAAAATTATTTATGAATGTTGATGCTCTATAGGGAACTTCATTTCCGACGAAAACAAAAACATAAATAATTATGTCGGACACACTACCACCACCCTACCACCACCACCCGCCTGTCAAGTTGAATGACGTTACATAAACAACTCAAGACGGAGACATTTAAACCAGCATGGAAATGTATCAACCTCAATACGCAAATTTAAATGGGATACATACCTCCAATGGCCAAAGGCGTTGATAACTGTTGGTATCTCTTTTAAGAAAAACAAGAACCCAAAACTTGAAAACATTGAGTATGAACAAGGTCAAAATTTACTGATCGTATTTACAAAATTAGAATATACTTAATTTCAACAACTTTTATACGGTCTACAATAGCGCTTACGCACAGTTTCTTGCAGGAGTATTACGAAAAGAATCTTTAGAAAAGCTAATAATTTAACCAAAATGCTTAGAAACAATAACATTTTCGCTTGAAAATGAAACAGAACTAGGGACTTTAAATTATTTTCTATAATTGATTTGGAAGTTTTTACCTTCTGTTTTTGAAACATGATAATTCCTGTGTAGCGATGGAATCATATTTTTTTTAAAATAATTATATCTATCTCTCTCTCTCTCTCTCTCTCTCTCTCTCTCTATATATATATATATATATATATATATATATATATATATGTATATATTTATATAGTTAAATTCCTAGATCAATTCTGTGGACAAGACAAATTGGTATAATATGACAATTGGAAAAAAAATTCTTAGATTTTGCCGACGCATTTCCTCTTCCGACTTTTTCAAGGCAAAATTGAAATCGAAATGTCTTTGCTGTTATAGATACATTAAAAAATCTAAATTTAAAAAGATAGGCTTAAAAAATTTAAAAAGGCTTAGACAAAATTGGCCTCGAAAAAAGTCGGAAGCCGAAAAGCGTCGGCAAAATCTAAGATTTTTTTTTTGTCATTTTATATACCATATATATATATATATATATATATATATATATATATATATATATATATATCCGAAAAACTACAAACAAGTATAAATAGAAACAAATAAATAGAAAATAAATAAACAAAAATACGTAAAATAATGAATCCAAACCAATAAATAATTAAATAAATTAAATATGAAGCAAATTAACAAACCACGAACCCACACATAAACACAATTAAACGTGATAATAACAATAGACAATAAAATAATCAATTATAAATATAAAGAAAAGTTAACTAACATCAATATAAATAGTAAAAAAAAAACAAAAAAGCAAATGTATCCGGATCCACAATTATTTCCACCGAACAACCCCGAGAATAATTCGAAACGTAACAGTTATCGCCCACCAAAATAATCGTTAGAAAAATACAATAGACAATGGATCACTGACCTCTATCTGTGTATATTTTAGTCGCGCAAAAACACAACGTCGCTGCTGGATGTTAACTTCAATGTCCACTTATTTATCTATCTATCTATCTATCTATCTATCTATCTATCTATCTATCTGTAATGAAATTTTTTTATTAATGGAAATGTGATCTGAGCTACCAGAAAAAAACACCTTCGTGGGGAAATAAAATATAATCAATGGACCCTTAATATCGTCTGTTTTTTTTTAAATTTTAATTATATATATATATGTGTGTGTGTGAGTGGAGGTGTGTGTATGTGCATGTGTGTGTGTTTGTGTGTGTATTGAAAAGAGAAGACTTAGAAATTAGCTGTTCATAGCGACTGTGATTCGAACCTTCAATGCGATATTCAAGCCAAGTTATAATTCTGATATATATATATATATATATATATATATATATATATCGATGAACTTTTGAATCTTACAGTAACTTAGAATATTGGTAGCAACTGTTTAGTTTCATTCGTATTTTGTTATGCAGGTGAAAATGGGCGTTGTATGTTTTCATATTTTCATGTGATTTTTTTTTCTGACATGATTCTGGTGTTTTTTTTTTGCGTCTTGTGTGTGAAACTAGAGTAAAATCTTTAAGTATAACTGATCAATATTTCATGCAGTTTCCTCGATATTGAGAATTGTTTGTGATGTGCATAATGGATATTTTACCCATATTTGTTTTCTTATTTTGATTGTATCGTAGGGATGGACATTTATGAATTTGTTCCATAGCGAGATTAGTTGTTTATTTACTTCACATTTTAGCAATTGGCACACTTCGAAAAATTGGGAAATAAAAATGATTTTTTTGTCAGATAGGACCTTCCCACTTGTTAGTGTGTCACAGCAACAAATCCTGATTTTGTAACAGTCAGTAGATTAGTGCACTGGTGAAATCTATCTATCTATCTATCTATCTATCTATCTATCTATCTATCTATCTATCTCATCATTTTCATATCTATCTATCTATCTATCTATCTATCTATCTATCTATCTATCTATCTCAGTCATTTTCATATCTATCTATCTATCTATCTATCTATCTATCTATCTATCTATCTATCTATCTCAGTCATTTTCATATCTATCTATCTATCTATCTATCTATCATCTGGTATTATCATCTATCTATCTATCTCAGTCATTTCATATCATATCTATATCTATTATCTATCTAGATATCTATCTATCTCAGTCATTTTCATATTATCTATCTATCTATCTATCTATCTATCTATCTATCTTGATTTCATATTTATCTATCTATCTATCTATCTATCTATCTATCTATCTATCTATCTATCTATCTATCTATCTCCATTGGTTTGCATCCGTTTGTCTGTATTCATTGCTGAGATGGTTTTACGTTTGTGTTTAACAAATGCAGTAATATTGGATGGCACCTCAGGCCAGAAATAATGCTTTATAAGTTAGTCATGACGACCACTAAGGGGCACCCGGTGAGGATCAAACTAAGTATAGTAGCGAGTTCGATCCCCATGTGATGCTTCGTATTTTTTGGCATGTGCCAAAAGAATCAAAGTGAATGGTTTAGTCTGGTTAACTATTAGTAATGAGTTGTATCCTCAATGGGTGCTACATATTTTGATATCACTAAACACTAACTAGTTACTAAATGCTGTAGTGATATACGAATCCAAAGTTCATCGAGACTTCCTGTAAATAAAAGCGATGAATTCATGTAATTCTAAAATCGAAAATATCTATACGGTCCACGTTTAGCGTTAGGTAAATATTACACTGAACATATCATTTCAGACCACAAATCATATATCTAATTTTCATTCCTGTGTCTGATTGGGGAAAGTCAAGTATTAATATAGATATTGAAAAATCTTAGTATGGTTTAACAAAAACACATATTTAAGGCACAAAGTGAGTATAAAACATATCTGAGTGCTAACAATATCTATGCACTAAGACGCCCAGTATATATATATATATATATATATATATATATATATATATATATATATATATATATATATATATATATATATTACAATGAATCATTCATACAAAAGTAGATTAGTAAAATTAATGATATAAAATGGCGAAAACTCTTCGCAAACAAAATTTTAATGTTGCATTAACCTACGTACCTCTCAATGATCTGTTCAGACCGCTGTTATGATCCTTGGTTTTAATAACTACAAGCTGTACAAGGTTTTTTTTTAATCTGCACGCTCCACATGTTTTCTATTCTTTATTATATTTTTCTTTTATTAATCTTTAGGTTTCATACCCGCTTATCTCCCTTTAACCTGGCAAACGATATTATATCAGACCCAGAGCATGTCTGCAGTAATAATTTTAAATTTTAAATTTCTATTTTTCCTTTATTTATGTTATTATTTTTTTCATTTTCACTTATTTTTATCTATTTTAAAATGAACCCTACATGCACCTCAATTCCTGCACCTTTTTATCTCTCTCTCTCTCTCTCTCTCTCTCTCTCTCTCTCTCTATATATATATATATATATATATATATATATATATATATATATATCGGACAAACGTCATACCATGACGTTTGTCCCAGCGTAAATGTCCGGGTTTCTATTCACGGTAGTGGATGTGCACTGCTGATGATGTGACTTATAAGATCCTAATGATAAAGCATAAATATCCTGATGAGTTACTAAACGAACATAATGAGATGATCTTTAAATGCAGACATAGATATCATCTCAATTTTACTCTCTACTTATAAAAAAAAAAAAAACAATATCAGTTAAAATATAATATATATGCAGTTATATATACGCACAAGTAAATTGATATACATTCTTTTTTGGCCATGATTTAATGTTGGTATATTTACTGGCGGTATATGTATGTTTAGATATTTTTATACGATGGCAAATATTGGCGTATATTTAGATATGAGGATGATTGTCTGCACACATGTGTGCAGGTACATGAGTGTATGCATATAAATGTGTATATGGGCTTGCATATGGATATGTGAATTTATGTGTATATGTATATATTTATGTATATATGTATATATATGTGTGGATGCGTGTGTAAATATGTATATGTGTACGTGTATTTTTAAATTTAGATAGGTATGTGTACATATATCGATTCATGTATATGGGGTTGCATATATATTTTATATGTATATATGTATGTATATATATATATATATATATGTATTTACGAATTTATATATGTGATATATATATATGTGTATAGGATATAGTTGTATGCATATATATGTATATATGGATGTATGTTTATACATATAGAGTTCGAATAGAAGGACAGAAAATTTTTTATTACCTTTTAATCTTACTTTCTGTTGAAATAATTTCTAATATATATGTGTGTGTGTATAGATAGATAGATAGATAGATATATAGATGGATAATATTAGTATATATATATATATATATATATATATATACATAAATTCCCAAGATGTCAGAATTCAGGTAGAACTCAATGTTCATGACAGAGTAAAAAGGCTCAAATACTAATATTCCATGGTTATAATTTATTACAATGGAATCGTAATCACGATCCAATTCATCAGATCTACAAATTCAAATATATATATATATATATATATATATATATATATATATATATATATATATATATATATAAAGCATAAATAAATATATATATATATACATATATACAAAGCATAACATATATATATATATATATACAAAGCATAATATATATATATATATATATATATATATATATATATATATATATATAATGCTTAACATAGTTGTAAATTAACTTTATTTGGCAACAGTACATAGTAGTAGCCACCCAGTGAAGATCAAACCTTCTATATTATAGAACTGATTAGTAAGAATACATTACGAAAGTAAAAGAGACTAATATACTGGTACGGTGTCAGAAGTAAAAAAGATCCATATATTAACATTTAATAAATTAATAATTAATAAAAAAAAAGTTAATTACCAGTTAAAAATTGTTTTTATCGTTTGCAGAGTGAGTGAGAAAACAGCAATATCGAAATCTACTGTGAATGGCAGTAAAAAATCAAATAAAATCTGAAAGAATAATGAAAACAAGAGTGCTTTAAGGAGACGATAACTTCAGCTCTATACAATCACTGACATTAAAATCTACCGGAAATTAATTGTTGGTCGACCACAGAAAGAGTCACGTAGAAGACAGACACTTTTCTAGAAATTCTTTAAAAATAATAAATAAATGAAAGAATATTTTTCATCTTTTTAGTGCCTTTAAATATTTAGAGAACCTGTTTCTCTTCAAATCTCACTGCAACAGTTATTTCTCAGTGAACTCACCTCATGTGATTAATGAACAAGAACTGAAAAAAAAAATGCATTTTTCTCATTAATTTTCCTAGCAAACCCGTGACGTCATAGGCGGATGGTTTCAATTATAAACTCCTTTCTCTGTTTATTATCTTGAATTTACGATTTTTTTTCATTTATGTTTGATTTTTAGCAAGTAACCGGGTATAAAGTTCAATGCGATCATTTCGCTTATTCTTTGGTTTTCATTTCGAATTTGATGATTTCTGACATAAACTGATTCCGAACAGATATTTTTGTTATTTTTGCTAGCGTGTAAATGAAAATTAACATTGTGGAGTTTTATGAAATATCACCGAATATTATTTCATATAAGTTCTTCCATTTTGACTTAATATTACAGTGTTATGGAGTTAAACCTTATAAAAATACTGTTAATTTATTACGTCTGAATAAACATATCTGTGAGATACTCTAAGACCCACTGTTGCAGCACATATTAGTACATTCTCAAAATATATCCGAGTATAGTTTAGCCTAATCCAGATCACTCCTACTGGGAATGACTGGGGCTATACTACGGGGTTTAAAATAGCCTCGTCTAAATTATATCACACAAGGCCAGCTTATACCCATTTTTAAGATTATTATCAACAACCGTTTTCCTTAATGTTAAGTTGATTTTCTAAGCGTAGCTTAAATGTGTCACAAATCCGAAAGCATAGGGCACATAGGGAGGATCGTTTTCATGATTCAGTCGTAATTGATCTAAAGAGACAAGCTAGCTAACCATTACAGCACGTCGAAGTATCCCTTAATTAGAAAGTGATGTGACGACTTTGATCTAGGCACTAGTAATAATAGCTCATATGAAATCATTTATCAGTAATTAGGCATTTGCTGACAAAATTAGTAGGCATTCGGAGGTTAAGTTTACTTATGTGCAATTCAAGGAATAGAAATAATTTTAGGGTTGTAGAATGCACATAGTATGTGCAGATGTTTGGTACTGCAATTTCTATTGTACCTTCGAATATCATCTGATGAAATATCTCTGCATTTAATCTAATCAGTATTTGAACACATAATAGTGATCATTCCATCGTTCATAATGTCACTTCTTATGTAATAAGTACTCCATCATTTTGATCTTGAACAGTACTATTTTAAATTTAATAAATATTTATAATTAGTGGTTATACATTTCGTTATCAGGTCAATTTGCAGCATACAGTGACCTGTAATTACTGAAATCTATTTTTAAATGTGACTCTTTCATGTTAGTTGAAAAGAATTAGTAGTATTCTATTATCAAATCATTAATAGAAATCTATTTGGTGTTGCTATGTGTTTTTGTCATAAAGGTAGTCACTTCGATGTCCATTTATAATACTATTTGATAACAGAAAAAAACACTTTCATCGTAATAATACTGAATATTTCACGCGCGACAGTAGCCGGAATTCTAGTCTATGATTTTGCAAGAATTCTACATTTGTATGATTGGCGCAACGACTGTTCTAATTAATATTAATGACCGTTTCACATTGTTCCCTGATAAAATAAGCTTACTATGAAAAGAAAACTTTTTTTAGTGGTCGAGATTGCTACATATTTTCTAAAATATACAGTAGGCAATATCTGATTCTGCCTCTAAAAAGTGAGGAATTTGATTGTTATTTATATGGTATCAATACCCTCACCACTTAGAAGACTAAAGCATCACGGGATTGCCACCACCAACTGGGACACGCCATGTCATGCACACAAGAGTGAATCAACTCCATTCCCCTCGTCTTCCTATAGTAAGAAAACGGCTGCTTTGCGGAACAAAACCCCGTCAGGATGTTTTCCCAATCATTGCAATCTGGATCTTTTCTGGACTGTTATCCTCATATTTACTGTCACATTCACGACGTTTTGGCCATTGTATGCTCCGGTTGTTATTTAGTTCACGGTGGTGGATTGTTCTAAATCCACAATATACTCTTGTGGACTAAATAAATGGATCGGTTCGAAATTCCGACAAATATCACCTGAAGAAGGCTGGAGCGCACGAATGTGACAGTAACAATAAGGACAAAAGTCTGAACATTTTAAATACTGTAAATTGAGGCCGTACCGCATCTCAGAAATATAGACAGCAACCGTTATATTTCCTGTATATTGCAAGGAACTTCACTTCTTGCTTTTTCTTACGTTCATACAACACCACACACTAACACTCTACCTTGAATCGCTTTTTGGGCCTTGTAATAGGTGAATAGTAGTATAAAAAATATATACCTCTATTTAGCCTTGTGTTATACTAAGCAAATCTATCTATCTATCTATCTATCTATCTATCTATCTATCTATCTATCTAATTTCAGTCTATTGATATCTATCTATCTATCTATCTATCTATCTAATTTCAGTCTATTGATATCTATCTATCTAATTTCAGTCTATTGATATCTATCTATCTATCTATCTATCTATCTATCTATCTATCTATCTAATCTCAGTCTATTGATATCTATCTATCTATCTATCTATCTTTCTATCTATCTATCTATCTATCTATCTATCTATCTATCTATCTATCTATCTATCTGTCTGTTTTGCTTTCAGCGTTGTATGACAAACATTAATATACTCATAATAATAAAAATAAAACTATGAATATCACAGTGAAATCCTTTAAAGGCCAGAATCGATTTTTCCTTCAGTCCGTTTACCATTTATTGCAGTTATTTATTACCCTCACTCATAATTCTATATTCATTGCTTTTTATCCTAAAAGACTCTTTTATAAGTAATGATAATATCAAAATTAAAAAAAACAAAACAAATGGTGGAAACCAAGACGAATGGATGCATATACGTCTAGACAAGAGTAACTATCTTCAACAGACCATTAGATCCATCTCTGTCTGATTAGGGATCGGTAGCTAAAAAAAAAATTGACAAAAATATCCCAAACATCTATCATGCGTCTCAACTTCTAACGAAAAAAAAAATCAAATTCTGATGTAAAAGCTATGAGAAATCGATACTGGTCAAAGATCATTCACTAATCAGATGACTCGCCAATAACGTTAAACTCTAATCATTTTGTTAACAGACAATATCGCAAAACATTGGAATCATTTCATTTTTCTTACCTCTTTTGCGTTCAGTTTCTGTTATTGTAGAAATTACGAGTTTTAATTGCGTATTCGAAAGAAAGGAAGCGATCTTTGCTTGATGACATTAGCTTTGGAACGCTAAACAAGACAAGGAAAAATTAATTTGTATTACTTGATTTGTGTTTTTCACCCCTGAACTCAATTTCTACTTTGGAAGTTTCTGTTAATTATTAACTAGGGTTGCTTTTTCCATTTCATTTGCCTGGCTTTCCTTTTTGTCATCATTTCTTCGCGATAAATATTTAATAAATGCAATTTAGTCTGAAAGTTAGTTACTAGTTAGGACAGGAAAAATTTTGAAAAGTTCCAGCGAACAAAACGTTTTACAGCTGTCTATTGAGTCTTTTAATCTGGTGAGAGACGGACTAGGCCTGCTCTACTCTCTTATAGGCATGTTTTGCAAAACTAAACACCTATCGAGATATGTGGATGGAACAGATTAAGTTCTCAGCGGGGTACCGACACTACGGCTGAACTCAGTCATGGGACATAAGATGATAACGCTGAATCAATTTTCTAGTTTTCAAAAAAAGTACACGGAAAACACTTTCCCCGTCTATATATATATATATATATATATATATATATATATATATATATATATATATATATATATATAACCAAATGGGTAAATAAACATACGTATACGAACGCGCAAACGTATACAAAAACATATATATACTCGGTAGTGCAAGACAAAAAGGTGCTCAATGTAAAATAACATAGCTATTTAGTATATATATATATATATATATATATATATATATATGTGTGTGTGTGTGTGTGCGTGTGTGTGTGTGCGTATAAGCAATTTTCATAATATCTTACATTACTTGTACAACTCAGAGTTTCATGCCTAATCAGTTATATATATATAGCTTCTATTATTTTTATCTTTTTTTTTTGCAGGTGGATGCAGTTAATATACTTGTGTTCTCTACTAGTATGTTTCTAATGGAGTCTGGTAAATTTGTGTGTGTGTGTGTTTAACATAACGCACACACTCAAGTATATAATAGTTCAGTTGATATATATAAATATATATATAGTAATGTTTACTTGTTATATATGAGCGCAATGAAGCTTTTGAAAGATATCACAAAATGTTGGTTTACATTTCTTAAGCGATATATTACAACTTCTATATTTAGCTTATTTTTACTTATGCAATAACAATTGGCCATTTTTTATGGGTTATAAATTTTATGCTGGATATGATTCTAAGAGTTTATCCCAGTTTTATTTGTAACATAAAATATATGAAAGCTAATATTCTCTATCAGACAATGACGAAAGTAGCGCGAGCAACCAATGATTTTGTGATTCTTTGAATCTGAATAGAAAAATATGTAAATCTCAACTAAATATAAAATATACCAATAAATGTTTTGTCCTCCAACTTTCACCCACCGCCCAAATACACACACACACACATATATATATATATATATGTATATATACATATATATATATATATAATGTATTATATTAATACGTTTACTCGACTGGTGTGAAAACGCCCGGATAGTGCAATTTGCAAAAAAAAAAAAAAATATTTGAACAAACTAGTATTAGGGGATAAAAACAGTAAAAAAAAAGAAGACTAAAAACATCTGTGTTGGTTGAAAAAAAATCACTCAACACCGCAATGCCTAGCCAAATAAAAAACAAAACACCAATCGAATAAAGGAAAACGTAAAAGTGTTCAATACACGAAGTAGAGCAAAAATATATATATATATATATATATATATATATATATATATATATATATATATATATGTATGTATATGCATATATATATATATATTCCTGACGCTATAGATTCCCAAGTTGACATCTACGCAGACGAGACTACAATTTACTCCTGCCTCAAAAACAAATCTAGTGTCGGCGACAAAACTAACTTTGCCGTGCGTCTAGAAATGGACCTCCAATCGGTTGTTAACTGGGGCAAGAATTGGCTGGTCAACTTTAACGCCACAAAAACTAAACTACTCTCCATTAACCTCCATAGAGATCCTTCCCTGCCCCCCATTAAAATGTCTGATAGTCAACTTCCTGAGAGCAACTCCCTGCGTCTGCTCGGTCTCATGCTGACTGCTGACCTGAGATGGAACAAATACATTGAGTCAATTGCTTCTTCCACCGCGAGGAAAGTTGGCTCTCTGTGCCGCGCCAGGAAATTTTTCCCCTGAATCGATACTTCAAATATACAAAACAACCATTCGCCCTTGCATGGAGTATTGCTGCCATATATGGGCTGGGGCACCTTCTGCTTACCTCGGAGTTCTTGACAAGATCCAGAGACGGATATGTAATCTAATTGGCCCTGATCTAGCGTGTTGTCTGCAGTCACTCTCTCACAGACGCGCCGTCGCCTCTCTCTGTCTTTTTTCTACAAATACTTCCATGGTAACTGCTCTGATGAGTTGCTTTCACTGGTTCCCAGACTTCATGAATTCAAGCGCCCTACGAGGCTGGCATCCCGCTCCCACCCTTACACCGTAGAAACTTTCAAATGTAGCCATCTCTTCTACTCCAGTAGCTTCATACCTCGCACCTCTCGCCAGTGGAACACCCTCCCAATTACTGTTTCCTGAAAGCTATAATCTCCAACTATTCAAATGTAATGTCAATCGACATCTCCAGTTACCTTGATCTACCCACTATCCTTCTCCTCATCCTTTCTCCTATCACTCCTATCTGCTCTCGCTCCAAATCTTCCGCAACCCCCTGCATCCTAGTGGCTTCACGCCTTGTTTGGGGCGTAATGCCTTAAAAATATATATATATATATATATATATATATATATATATATATATATATATATATATACCTTGCTATATATACGTGTGTGGGGTGAAAGTATGTTTTTCATTTTAAGAGGTTTTGTTAAATCACAGTAACATAAAAAATGATCAATGAAACCAGTGCTGAGATGAAATGTATAAATTTATAAAATATAAAGTGTTCAGTTCCTGTGCTACTCCAGTTTCGCCCAATATATGGCTCTTGGGGCTGTGAACACATTCTAAGTATTTCACATTACTGGACCCAACAAAAAAGCTCTTCCGTAAAAGGTCAGATATTTATTATATTTTCCTAATTCATTTCCATAGATGTTTTACTCTTATTAAACTGTGTCTGTTGTACAGTGAGAAATTTAAATGTCTTCTACTTGGACTTCACTTTAAGCCAAATCAGCATTAGTCATTATTGAAGGATGAAGGATCACTCTTTAAATGCTGCTCTCTTGTTATAAAAAAAGGATCCAATGCAATTCTGTCACGGTGATGACAGTGAGGGTAAGAGTCAGAGAAAGCGAGCGAGAGAAAAAGGGAAAAGTAGTAGTAATAGTAGTAGTAATGAGATTCCCCCTTTCGACCAGTTCATTGATTAAAACAGTAAACATTACCCAGGAACCGAACTCACTTCGCTCCATCCGCGTACCAAACAGACAACAGCTACGTCAACTCGCTTAATGGATATTCCTGACATTCCGCTTCATCTAAAGTTCACAGACTGACACTTACATAAATTCGCACTCTATCGACGAAAAAAAAAAAAAAAAAAAAACATTTATTCTACACCATAGCTATTTTTCAATAAAATCACCAACTTTATTAATTCACTTATTTTCGTTGTGAATATTAATTACATAGCTCGAATATTACACAATGAAAAATTTCAAATAAAATTCCATCAAATATAAATCTTCGTCATAACAGCACTTACAGCCTTTGAATCAGTAACGTCAAAATGTTGCCAAAATAATCATTGTTTTCTGGATTGTATATCTTTCCAGCCAAAATGCGTTTTTCATATTCGGTAAAAGATAGCCTGACTACATCGTCCCTTTAATAAAATATACTTTCTTATATGAATTTGTTAGTTTATCATTAGCTGATTAATGTATTTTCAAACAACCCTCAAACATTTTTCGATGTGATTTCATTTGAACATCAACGAAGCCATAATTATGTTTGCTTCGCTTGATTTTTCGTAATTCTGGCATTATTAATCGACAGTCGGAACAGACAATAAATTATAGCGAACAACTTGCGATAATTTAACTACAATGTGAGGAATTGAAGGAATAAATGCGATTAAAAAAATTGAAAGCGTTAATCTGTTGATTTCTAAGAGAAAACTTCATTAATAGAGCGCATTAATGCTTTTCTTTCAAAGATAAAGTTCCAACAAAATCGTTTTATAAACCATTCTAGAAAAAGAGATTATTTTGTAGAGACTTTTAAAACTATATATATATATACTTGTTATATATATATATATATATATATATATATATATATATATATATATACATATTTGTTATCTTTCATGGTTTAGAGTTGTGAAAACAAACAAATCAAGAAAAAAGTGTGCTATAGTGGGTTTTCTTATGTATAAAGAAATAATAAATGAACTCATATCCAGGAAGAA